ATGAGTTATTGGTGAAAATTTCATGACTTTATCCACTTGTGCACAATTTCAGTAATTTTTAATGTTAATCTGCTGCACCATAGAAGGTTTTAAATCAATACGGAAACAATCCTCAGAAATTCAAATACAGCAACATTTTAACTTTAAAAAATGTTTATTAGCATGTTTTTGCGAAACACCATCCAGGTTTTACTTTAACAACTGGGTAAGATCTTGAGGGCTCTAAATATAAACAAACATTAGGAAGCGCATCTTTAAAAATATCCTTAAATATGTAAAAATATACTTTAAATAAGATTATTTAAAAAAACTCATCTGATTCATAGACTCGTTGAAAATAAAATAGGATTATCTACAACCAAGATTTAATCTTGCATAAGGGGCTTGAATAATCTTAATTATTCACATCATCGAAAATTTGAACTTGAATTATCTTAACTATTCACATCATCAAAAATTTTTCAAACAATACAATCTTTACAAATAAATAGATTTATATATCTATTTTATAATACAAAAGATTGCCAAAAGATTGTTATTATAATATAATTTATAACTATATTTATAACTATACATTAGTATAGTTATAAATTATTATTATATAATGATATCTATTCTTAGTTCCAATGTAAAATAAAGTTGATTTTTATAACTACTAAAATACCCAAATAAAATACAAAAAAACCCGTATATTTGGCGTAAAAAGAATTTTTTACGCCAAGTATACGGAATAATCCTTATAAATGCTTCGTCAATGACAAAACTACTTTTATTAAAATAATAAAATTTGGTTTTATACTTCACAAAATTAAACCAAATACTAAACGTTAATTTTTTGATTTGATTCTTCTTGATTTGACCTAGAGACAGATATTTTTATAACCTTATTTAAGATACATGTTAATAACTGCCATAAGCTTTTCAGTTGCAAATCCAAAAGAGAGCGGACAATGTACAAAAATATGAAAAGTGTCTGAAAAGTAAATTAAATTATTTTCAGATTATTTACTAAATTCTAAATGTCTCTACTGTCTGCACAAAATGTCGATTGCAGTGTTTTTTACTTGAGTTTAAATAAAATGATTCAAAAAATTTATTTTTCAGAATAATTTATGAATAATTCTATAAAAATCGCAAAACAATAAGATGCAAAAATACAAAAAATAACATGCATCAAGAAAACAAAAAAATAATTAACTTTTTTAATGTTAATAACTCTAAAACCTTTAAAGCAGATGGAATTTTTGCAGATGGAATTATTTTGTGGAATTTAGTGGCATAAACACAACAGTTTATAAAAAGTATAATTTTTTTTTTCAGCTTTAAAAATGATGAAACAAAATTTGCGCTACACACAGCAATCAAGAGTTCAATCATTCATACAGAATTCAAACCACCTTTGACCATAATTTTTGTATAGCTTTAGTACATCTGATAATAAAATGCGTTGTTGTTAAATAATTATTCAACAACACCGCATTTTATAATCAGATTTATATAATCAAATTATAATTCATGTACATATGTATTTTTGTAACGTGGCCTGCAAGATAAATATTTTTTGTACTCAGAAACTAAAATAATAATTCTGATTCTAATAATTTTAGGAGTAGATAAATCTTAACAGATTTTTCACTTACAAAACATTCATAGGCAATTAGTTTATCAATATTTATAACTTTATCAATATTTATAACTTTATCAATATTTATAACTTTATCAATATTTATAACTTTATCAATATTTATAACTTTATCAATATTTATAACTTTATCAATATTTTAATTTTTAACAACATTGTAATCAGAGTTTTCAACAAAATTTTTATGAAATTTTGTCAAAAAAATGTCAAAAAATATTTCCTTTGATTTCATCCCAAATTAATTGAGATGGATCATTTTTCTGCAACTCCATGATATGTTGATGTAATGGGGGCTGTAGAAAGATGCTTATAATTTATCAATATTAAGAATCACAATGTAGCAAGTTACATTTCTATACATAAAGAATTGATTTTAGAAAGATTTTCTTAAGATCTTCTTATGTAACTCTTTTGTCTGAAATAAGCAGTTCGAGCAACCACAACTTATTTATCATTTTCAACTTCAACTACTTTGGTTGTTGGTCACAAGTAAGTTTCAGCATATAAGTTTTTTAAACTCCACTAGAATGTAGGGTTGTAGTTCCTTCATATATGACATTTTCTGGAGACTGTCATATATGAAGAGCCAAGGAAATGTAAGAAAAAATTCTGATACCTGGAGAAAAAACTTGACAGTATATCAAAAGAGTGTCACATAATTATCAACAACTATTATCAACAACCAATGATCCACTTGATGGCTAATCTAGAATGCCAAAAGAAATGAAAGGCATTAATTTCTTTCAAAAGATGAAAAATCAAAATTGTCTGAATTATATTGATATCTGATGAATTGAAGAAACTGTGGAAAAAGTTAGATTTTCCCCTCATAACAGCATCAATAATGAAGAAAAACGATGCATTAATTGAAAAATATAATAAATTTTTGAAATAACTTAAATAATGTGCTCAAATTAAATTTGTAAATATATTTGATATTACAAAAAAAAATGGCATCTGGTTGATAACTGAAGATAAAAACTTTTATGACATGCAGACTAAATCACAATGAGAAGTTGCTACGCAACAACAATACAAGTTAAAGTACATTCATCAAAAGTTGACAAAGAAAATATCTCAAGCGCATGTTATCTTCCTTTTTCAAGTGAAACGTATAGTCTGAAATAATTCAGGATACTCAGAAATTTTTAATGATGGTACTAATGATTGTAAATATACTACTGAAAAAAGAAAAACCGACCAATACTCTACAACAGAAACTGCCGTTCATCTAGTGAAACAGACTATTTTAAGTTCTAAATCAGCAAGAGCCCTCTAAATCAGCAAGAGTTTGCGAACAACTGTATAAATAAAATTTAAAAACATCATGTAACACGATAATATGCAGTTTTTGTATGAGTTGGAAAATGCTTACTGAAATTATATCTTTCAAAGCATTACCTAATATATGTTCTTTCAAAGCATTACCTAATATATGTAATACAAGGTGAAACTCTAGAGGAATATATTCTTTACTTGCTTTACTTACTTATCTTTACTTGCTTTTTTGCTACTTTTACTTGAGCCCCAAAAGATTAAGAATAAAATATACTTACAATGCAATTTGCAACCATTCAATCACAATATTAGTGCTTATTATTACCTACCAACTTAAACTGCTGAAACTTATGAATTGATTTTTGATTTGATGTTTTGTTCAGTCTTAAAGGAGACAATTATGAAAAGTTGGATAATAAAGACAATTATGAAAAGTTGGATAATGAAAACAATTATGAAAAGTTGGATAATGAAGACAATTATGAAAAGTTGAATAACGGTTTGAAGAAACACAAAAAAACACAGCAATACAGCAGTTCAAACACAAAGAAGTCACATTTGCGCCAAAAGAGCGCAAATGTTACTTCTTTGATTTAAATTTGTGCATGAAACAAAGTGTAAAAGTGCTGAAAAAAGCAATTTGAAGTTTCTTTTATCAAACAAGTAATTTTATTTTACTATACTCGTTAATTACTATTTCTGAATTGTATTTTATATTACATTATAGCCATAAATAAAAATTTATCGAAATTTTACTATGTTGAATATTTTTAAAACAGTTTTTTAAGGTCCTGGGTGAGGTTTTTGATAAGAAATCGTAAATGAATGTTAATTTTAGCGTTTTTATACCAAAACTCATCTTACAAGGCCATGGCCATAAAAGGTTTCAAAAATTTCATAACCCTAATAAGCAGTACATGAATTTGTTTAATGGAAAGTACTCTTTTTTATATTTATTCTATCTTTTTAACTTTCTTACTTTTTGATTGTAAACACTTATTTTTTATAAAATGACGGCCACCACGTTTTGAAGTTTATAATTTTTGTAACACAAGTTGGTGTAACACAAGTTTATTACTCTTAGATAGTTTCTTAATAAGATCGCATACTTTTTTAGAACTCTCTTCCATCCTGAGTTGAATTTGCTTTATTTCCTGGGCACCAATTAAGGGTTGTTAGAACAAATCTATTTCATCTTTAGTTTTGAAAATATAGAAGTGGTTTATTGTATCCACTCGATCATTTAATATAGGTTTTTGCAGCTTGAAAAAAAAACACTGATTTACAGCCTATTATATAATAAATTTTACCTGCAAAAATGAAATTTTTGTAACCATGCATTCAATCTCGTTACTGGGTTAGATAAAGTTGCTAACTAAATCTGATTAGGTTTACACTAAATAACTTACCATAGCCTACTGGAACAGTAGGCTATGGTAATCAAACCTGATAACTAATCAAACCTGATAGCTAGGCTGACAGGTAATGCAAGCAGATCTATTACTATAAGTATTACTATTTTTAAAAAACAAATGTAGCCTATAAATTAAGATAATAGTTATTACTGTTCTTAGAGTAGATCAAAAACACAGTTTAGATTAAAACTTTATTATTTTCAGTTTTTTTGTTTTACAATTAGTTTATTATAACTTAATTACTCAGTTTTAAAAAAAAAATTTTGAGACAAAATGCTCATGTTTTTTTACATAAGCACATCTAAAACCTGTTGACCATTGGTTCAACTTTTTTTTAGTTGGCACCGCGTCGTGTTTTAAAGCTGAATTACCGTTGACATTATTGCACTTAAGTTTTAGTAATTATAATTGGGCCTTATATATATATATATATATATATATATATATATATATATATATATATATATATATATATATATATATATATATATATATATTAGGTTGACCGGAAAGGAATGTCGTTTTTGCGCATGTTGACATTCAATAATTGTTGGCCAGTTTATTGTATATCTCGAACACGTGCACAGGTTATTTTTATATTAGTGTGACTTGTTTACTTCTAAATTATTTAAAATTAAATAGTTTTCTTTGCAAATTGGAGTGAAATGGCATACGAAATACAGGAAGTGCATATTCGTCATTGTATGCTTTTTGAATTTCGCAAGGGTAATAACGCTACAGTTGCGACTAAGAACATTAGTGATGTTTACCCAGGTTCATTAGATGTTCGCAAATGCCAAAGATGGTTTTCCAAGTTTAGATCTGGGAATTTTGATCTTTCTGACGCCCATCGACCAGGAAGACCAATGTCATTAGACAACGACGTTCTAAGGGCAGAAGTTGAAGCAAATCCATGCCAAACCATCGAAGAATTGTCGAACACCCTTAACCAACCTTGGTCGACCATCCAAGAACATTTACACGAGATAGGAAAAATCAGCAGAGCAGGTGTTTGGGTCCCCCATAACTTGTCAGTGCAAAACAAAGCCAACAGATCAACCACGTGCAATGCATTGATTCAACGGCACCATGCAGAACCGTTTCTTGATCGTTTGGTCACTGGAGATGAAAAATGGGTCCTATACGATAATCCAAAACGCAAAAGGCAGTGGCTCTCCCCAAATGAACCAGCACGCAGTACTGCAAAGCCGGGATTACACCCCAAGAAGACGCTCCTGTGTGTTTGGTGGAGCATCCGCGGAATCGTCCACTTTGAAGTGCTTATTCCTGGACAAACTGTTAATGCGGACCTTTATTGTCAACAATTGGATCGAGTGAACCAAGCTCTAGTTGAGAATTACCCGGCTATCGTCAACAGAAAAGGTGTCATTCTTCAACATGACAATGCAAGGCCGCACTGTGCACGACGGACGCTTGAAAAATTAATGAATTGAGATGGGAGGTGCTGCCCCACCCTCCATATTCACCTGATATCGCCCCTTCAGATTTTCATTTGTTCCGGTCCTTACAGCACTTTGTAAGTGACAAAAAATTTCAAACTTTGTACTGCTTAAAAAATTGCATCTCCAGATATTTTGATGACAAACCAATACATTTTTTTCGATCTGGTATAGAAAGTTTGCCCGCTCGATGGCAAAAGGTTGTGGAAAATGAGGGTGATTATATCATTGATTAAAAATAAATATTATAAAAAAATTATTTGTTTTAATTTGACGTAAAAATACGACATTACTTTCCGGTCAACCTAATATATATATAGCCATTCCACAAGCTATGATTTTCAAAAAATCAGTGGCAAAGATAGAGTCCCAAACCTAAGGAAGCTATCAAACGTGACTATATTTATAAATGGAAGCTAAAGGAAATGCTCGAACTAGAGGCCTGTTTCTCTCGCATTGGTATGCTGTAAAATAATGAAAAATTTTATACAAAAGAGAATCATAAAATATTGCCTTGAAAATTGACTCTTCAAAAAATATCAATATGGGTTTAATGGAATGGTTACTAATCAGGAAACACTGATTAATTACCATTCTGTTAGACACATTGGGTTTACATTGTAAAAACAATCAACTTTTATTATAAAACTACGGGGGTTGAATGTACTTTATTCCATTTTTCTCTATTCAATTAAAACCATACTTGAATAGTTTCTGTAATAATGTCAATGTTATTTAATTAAACGTTGCATCGATTGATATTCTTATTTATACTTTTTTTGTTATTTAAGTGCAAGATGAAATTATTACAGTGCACCACAGATTTGTATTGTATGAGAATGAGCGTAAGAAATGAAAACAAGGAGGAAGTTTTCACCAACTTCCTTAATTTTAAAGTTAGAGCCTTAGTTACTGCATTACGGTTGTTTATGCTGGGTTGGGAATGTTTATATGTTAATTTTGATAATCTATCAATTTAATCCATCTGGTTATCCAATGTTGACAGCACATTGTAGTTAAAAAATTTCCGCGTTTAATAAAACAGACAGTTAAGAAATTAATTATTGAAAATTATTGTGTTGTTTACAAAAAAAAAGATAATTCCTTAACTAAAAAAATATTTAAATGAATACTATTGGTAAGTTTTATTTAGTTTTAAATCTTAAACGATTTTTAATCATTTTAGTTATTCATTTCCAAACTTATTCAATATTATTTGACAAGTATCTTGCACAAATTTATGGAAAGATTTTGTGAGTTAACGAAAGTTTTTTAAATTATTACTTGAAAACGTTAGTTGATGTTTTCATGATTGCGTTTAACATATTTGTCGATATTAAGATTGAGAAAAGAAAAATATGTCAATGAACCGAGTTAGTCGAAAATCTCGAGTAATGTCGCATACTCTATTACGATCAACAATCTCTGTATTTAAGGTTAAAATATTACAGAGTATTTTTTTATTAATAAAAATTAAACCTAATATTCATAACGAATATATTTTATTTAGGTTATGTCTTTGGGATCGGATATTTTTCCACCAATCAAATGTAATCAAAAGAAAATCAATTCCTTTATAATTCTTCATTATTCTGTATACAAAGCAATTTGGGATTGGTTCATTTTACTTTTAGTGATGTATACAGCTATAGCGACTCCTTACATGGTGACGTTTTTATCAGGAACAAATAAACTGCTGACTTTGATTGATACTGTTATTGACTTCATTTTTTTAATTGATATATTATTGAACTTTCGAACTTCTTTTGTGGATTCAAGCAACGAGGTATCAACACAAATATTTATAAAATAACTTCAAAGTTATAAGTTAGATATTAAATCGTTTATTTTTTAGGTTGTTTACAACCCTTATCGAATTGCTAAAAATTATTTAAAAGGGTGGTTCATTTTGGATTTTTTGGCAGCTTTTCCTTTTCAACTTATCTGTTTGATATTAAAAACCAATCAGGTAACAAGAAAATGTTTTAAGTTTTTGGATAAATTAAATTGCATAACACTTATAAAATAAAAGTTTTTAATGATTTAGCTTTTCATTATTTTATTGGGGTCAAGAGTACCACGCAGTTTTTTTTGTTAGAGGTATCGGATGCAAACTAAACTTTAAAAATATATATCTATATATATTTTAATTTGTGTAAGCTACGCGATTAAGGTATATATAATACACAGTAATCGCGTAACTTATGCACATTAATCACATTAGTTTCATTATTTTCGTTCATGCACATTATTCTGGGCATACAGCAAAAGAGAAGTTAAAATGAATTTTTGTAGCCCAGTAAACACAGTCTTTAAAACATTTAAACAATTGCTTTTAGATGTCTAAACGTGTTTTACACTTCCTTAAGACATGCACAACATGTTTAGACGTCTAAAGACGTGCAAAACAAGTCTAGACGTCTAAAGACGTCTAGACTTGTTTTAGGTTAAGAGTTTAAAAATATATTTTTTTTAATAATCGATTTGTAATACAACCAGATTTGCAATAAAAGTTGAAATTCAAGAAGTAAATTGGATTAAATAAAAATTTGCTTTAATAAAAATATTTTCTTTATTTGCATTATAAAAGGGATAAGCAAATTACGGTATGCAGTAAATAATATATATAAACAACCTAATCCGATACATTACATTCATATATCTCAACACAGCTTTGTGCTATTTTGCAACTTTTCTTTACTACCGTCACCAATTTTTCTATTTTCTTCAACTTTTCCTATTTTACGAAACGTCAGCTTAGTGCTACTTTGCTACTTCATTTTTGATAAAACATCAAAACAATACATTAGAAATTGTTTTCAGGAGGGTTATTATATTTATTTATGCAAATTAATGTGTATCTATGAGTGAAGGAATGAAACCTGTAAACAATCTGATTTGCATTTTTATTTACATTAAGAGTGCGTCGTTTGTTTCTATATTTTGTTTTAAAATGAAAGGTTGCGGAGAATGACCAACAATGATGTAACGCACTTACAAAAAGATATGTAACAGCACTTCAAGTATAACATCAGAAAATGAAATCTAACATACTTACAATATAATAATAAGCGAGCATCAGTCAAAAATACCGGGGATTTTTCTTTTGTTTGGGAACTTTTTGATCAGATTAGAGATATTATTTTGGACAACATATTTAGCTTGTTTTTGGATTTCATATTTAGCTTGTTTTTATCGCTTGGCGTGTTAGGTATTGATAGCTGGATACTTGTCTGTAACAAAGTCAAATGTGTTCAATATCGACTGAGTTTCTGAAAACTTTTGGGAATAGGTTTAAGATTTTGCAATGTAGCCATAACGTCTAAAACTAATGGTTCTTTTTGAGGGATACTAACTGACAGCTTAGCAATACATTTATCTTCAATTATACTCATAAAATTTGATTTCATTATTTTCAGTGAAGAGCAGTTGAAAGAAGCCAACCAAGAAAGAAATACTCTCAGCAAATACTTTTACAGCAAATACAATTTTTAATCAAATTTTGACATGAACATTACTATTTTTTTAAAAACAATTAGTACCTCTTCCATATTTATATCACCCTTACCTGCTATTAGCAAACAACAAACCCAAAAGTCGCATTCTTTTATAAAACTACTGTTTCTCCAGGGAATAATTTAATTGTGTTTTTGTAACGAGAAAAGGTCTTTAGCTATAACATTTTTCTACTCATAAAAATATTCGGATATTTTCCATGTTGTACCTTGTAAAACTAACGCAGCTTTTGTCTTCCATCTTGTAACCTTGATCTTAATATTTTGTAACTCCAGCAAAGTATTTATATGATTGTTTGTGACTTCGTTTTAAAATCAATTAATCATTGAAGGAATTAAGCAGATTTTTCATCATTATGAACTCTTTAAATATTCAAATCTCTACGAACCCTTAACATTGTAAATCAGTACTTATCTTAAATGATCATTTTAACTATACTAGAAAAATGATTTTCAGTAAAAGTGATACACGTTTTATTATACAAATAAAACACAAACCATTAACATCGGATTTCTAGTTGACTGCGTCGCGTAACCTTGCACAATTTAATGCTTTTGATCACCCCCTCATCCCCCTCAAAAAAGGCGATTTTCAAGTTATAGTCCGTTTTTTAACGAACTTAATTGGCTAGTTGGGTATTTGACACAATTCAGTTCGGTAAATTTTAGTTTTGGAGATCTTTTTTTTTTTTTAAGATGCCAGTCGGTACTTTTAAAGATTCACCCCCCCCTCCTTTTTTTTCTCTATTTGCTGAATCGCCTCTGACTATGACTCATCCGCAAAAAAATCACGCTAATGTAAACATAAACATTACAATTTAAATTATATTCAAAAAAAAATGTCCTACTTGTGTTGATAGTAATGTATTAGTTTCTTATTTTATATATATATATATATATATATATATATATATATATATATATATATATATATATATATATATTGAAAATAAAACTACACGATTTTCAAAGAGAAAATTAAAGTATTTTGAAGAAACTCTTATTTTAAAATCATTCACCTCAACCTTTAAATAGAGTTGAGAGAAATGTGATATAAGTAGAGAGAGATACAAACATATATTTGTGTTTATATATATATATATATATATATATATATATATATATATATATATATATATATACATATATTTGTGTTTATATATATATATATATATATATATATATATATATATATATATATATATATATATATATATATATATATATATATATATATATATATATATATATATATATATACAGTATCGGACAAAACAAGTGCAACCAAAATTGCTAATTTAGTTTCTTTATGTAAAAGTGCTGCATTTAACTATTTAGAGACAACGTTCTTCAAGTTTTATTCATCACAAAGTTCAGTATTTGTACACGAAAGTTAATAAATTAATCAAAAGTATTAAAAATGTTGATCTCCTTCTAGACAAAACAAGTGCAACTCCACAAAATGTTGACCAAGCTGTATTTCGCTATCAATATTTCGTGGCGAATCCTTTGTTGTTGATTGCAGCCTTGCATCTTCGAGGCATAGATTCAATCAGGTGATCAATGAAACTTTGTGGAATCGCTGCCCAGGTCTTTTGCATTTGTTCAAACAGTTGATCCTTATTACGAACACTTTCACGATTAATTCGGCGGTTGACGATCTCCCACAGGTCTCGATAGGGTTGAGATCCAGAGATTGAGGCGGCCAATCCATCACCGATAGATGATTGTCTTGAAACCACTGCTTGACTACTTTTGCAGTGTGTTTCGGATTGTTGTCTTGCTGAAAAATCCATTTTATTGGCATATTCCATTCCGCATGACGTAACATAATATCTTTCAGGATATTTTAATACATTAAACAATCCGTTATTCAATCCGTTCGATGTATTGGACCTAGACCGTTAGCAGAAAAACACCCCCAGACCATTATATTGCCTCCACCATGCTTCACGGTCTTATGGCAGTAACGTAAATTAAGGCGTTTTCCGGCCGGTCAACGTACATGGCAAATGCCATCGCTCCGAATAATTTTGAACTTCGATTCATCACTGAACAGGACATTTCGCCATTTCTGCACATTCCAGTCAATATGAGATGTAGCAAACAGGAGTCTTTCCTTGTGGTTCTTTAGTAAAATCAGCAGTTTGTTTGCAGGGCGTCGAGAAAATAATCCGGCTTCAACAGCACGTCGTCCGATTGTTCGGTCCGATACAGGCAGCTCTAATTGCTTTTGTATCTCGACTGATGATATCCAGGGATCCTTCCTGACGGATCTGACGATCATAGAATTCTCTCTAGAAATTCTGCCTGTGTGCTGTCACCTGTCAGCTGATTGCTTATGTCATGGCATGCTATGACTCCAGACTCCTGAACTGTTTGCTGTGGTAGTATAGTTAGCATTGTTCGATGCTTGCTAATGTTTTGTGCAATACTGTATATATATATATATATATATATATATATATATATATATATATATATATATATATATATATATATATATATATATATATATATATATATATATATATATATATATAATTTATTAGAGCTATTTATATAACAATTATATAATATTTTATAATATAATAAAAATATACACAAAATATAGTTAATTTTTTTTAAGACAACTGTTTTGATCAGTTTGGGCAAGTCAGCTCGTTTGCGTCGATTAGTTCGAATAACCCGTAAGGTGGACATGTATTCGGAATATAACATAGCATTGTTATTACTTCTTGTTTTTGGATTTACATTGATAGCTCACTGGTTTGCGTGTTTATGGTATGCAATTGGAGTTAAAGAATGTACATCTCAAAATAATCTTGGTTGGTTAGCAAAGCTCAATAATGATTTAAATAATACTTACAACAGAACGGAAGGACTCGATTTGACAACTACTTATTTAACAGCATTATATTTTACATTAAGCAGTATGACAAGTGTAGGATTTGGAAACGTTTCTGCAAATACAAATATTGAAAGACTTTTTACAATTATAATAATGCTTGCAGGAGGTAATTTTTTTAGTTTTAGATGGCTTAGGTATTCGCGATGTTATTATGCCATAATATCATTGTTATTTTTATTTAAATTTTTATTGTTTAACATAAGTCAGAATAGCAAAATATATTATGCATTTAAAAACAGCAATTTTTTAAAAGATTATGAAAATAAAATGATGAAGATCTTCATAAATTTACAATGTTTGTAGTAAAACAACATATTCATCAACACTTTGATGTTTGTAGTAAAACAACATATTCATCAACACTTTGATGTTTGTAGTAAAACAACATATTCATCAACACTTTGATGTTTGTAGTAAAACAACATATTCATCAACACTTTGATGAGGTTATATAAATCATATTCTTTTAAAATCTTTAAAAATTTTAACAAGTTATTGAAAAAGTATTAAACAAAAAAAATCAATATTAATTAGGTGAATTAATTAGGTGAAATTAATTAGGTGAATTAATTAGGTGAAACTATTTTTTATTTAAAGATGACTTTTTGAATTTCTGTTTTGATGGTGCATAATCAGTAACAGAAAAAAAAAATCAAAACTTGGTTATATTATGTATACATAATATATTATGTTCTAAATATAAGGACCTCAATAAGAATTTTTCAACTCATGCTTTTCTGTTGTTTTTTTTACTTTTTCGGAACAAGATTTTTGTTAATGCAAAGAATATAATAATTGTTTTTAGATTTAAAACTAATAAGATTTTAAAAACTTTCAGCGACATATTTTCTCGTCATTTAAACATAAAGTATAAAATATTAAAAACATGTAATGTAAATTTAAAGTATTCATTGCGTTCATTTAAGTTTGTGTGAAAAATCATTTTGTAAATTTATTGCGCAAGCTGCGTGTTTCTAAAGAAGGTATAGAAATTTAATTCTTATACTATGGATGCTTCCCCATATTGTATTTGCATAGTTTATATGACATTGCAGATCGATTGCAGAACACCAAATTTTATATTAAATAATACTTGATTTATGGGATTTACTTAATGTATTATATCCTAATTTACAATAAAGTAGATTATCCCTAATCTACTTTATTGTAGATTAGGAAGATAACAATAAAATCAGAATTTTTTGTTAATGCCATATACATTAGTTTCCTACTAGAATTCGATGATTGGTTCTTCTTTTTAAGCTTGAAAAAATGAAATTTACATTTTAAAATAAATAATAACAACTTTTGAAAAACCTCTCTATTCATTTAAATATTTAATTTTGTTAATTAACGCTTATACTTGACACAGCTGCACTTTTTTATGTGCCACTGATCTTTTTAACTGACGCCGATCCGAAAATTTTCAACACACATAAATCCTTGATTATCAAAAACCAATGAATAAGTAAAAAAATAATAATAATAATAAATAAGTAAAAAAGTGGTTAAAAATGTTTATTGTAGTAACATCAAAAGAGTTAAAAAAAGGTAAAAACTATTAAATATACACAACGTTATGAAGAGCCCAAAGAAACTTTTCTTTTTAAAGATTTTTCAAAAGATTATAAATAAAATATATATTTATTTTTAATAACAATTAATGTACTAAATTAAAAACCTAGTAAATTTTAAAGTCGGTCTCGATATTTTATAAGAACTTTTATTAGAACGTGGTGGTCATGTAGTGAAAGAGAGTTTGTCCTCGGGAAGGGAACAAACTTCGTAAGTAAGAACCCCTGAGTTTGTTCTCTCCAACGTCTTTGCTAATATCGCACTCAAAATATTTCTCCACATCTTGTTTATCAAGGCTCCGAGCATTGTTTATAAAGACACGAAGCCTTTATAAAAAACACTATCTGAAGACATAGGATCAAGATAATTACAACAATAATTAGAAGATAAAGTCTCCCTTGACTGAAGTATCATCCTTGGCCTTACAGAAGTAAAAAGAGTAAAAAAATTCATTAAAAATCCCTTGACTGAAATAATTACAATAATTAATTTTTATCTTTAAGCATTCTCCACCATTTTCGTGGTCTGGTGTTACCGGTTCTAAAAGTAATAGCAATAATAACCCAAATTTTTTTAAATAAACATTATAAAATATGATTTTTATTTATACTATATTATGTTATATTATAATATATATATATATATATATATATATATATATATATATATATATATATATATATATATATATATATATATATATATATATATATATATATATATATATATATATATATATATATATATATATATATATATTAAAATTACTATTAATTAAAATAATTTCGTTTTCAGACAAAGCAAAATCTTATTTCCGTTATCTTATTATTATCAAAATGATAATGCTTAATAAGCTTTAAGATATCCATTTGAGGTTGCATTGTGAACCGAAATTCAATTATATAAAATTAGGATAAAAGTTGGATTTTTTTAATTAATTGTATTATTTGATATATATATATATATATATATATATATATATATATATATATATATATATATATATATATATATATATATATATATATATATATATAAATACCGGAAATTCCGGGCAAAACCGAAATGTTCAATAATACTGGAACCGAAACAGGAACCGAAAAATCTTGTCAGAGTTGTGACCGGAACCGGACCGAATTTCGGTCGATCACTACTGTTGAGGATCATGACAGCACGATTAAAATGATGATGTTCTAATGTTATTGTGCTGTATAACTTTACAAGGAGAGAATCCGTTCTAAAAACGGAAAATTAAAAATTTTCAAAAAAAAATTTAGCTGGCAAAATACTTTTTGAAACAAATCAAGCAAACAAAAAACAAAGCATTAAACAAACCAAGTAAAAAAAAAAAATGATATTAAAATTGCCACTTATGCTTCAGATATTCAGATATTAGATAGATATTAATATTGCCACTTGTTAAGCATGTCTATGGGATTATTTTGTTGTGATAATTTACATTACAACACATTCTTGTTTAGTAACGTAAAATATCATAATAAAGTATTCCTATATTCACAAATATAAAAATTGTTTTGTTATATCAAAATTCTATCATTTTTAATTTTTGCTTCATTTTTAAAGAAATGTTTTTAGTCTAACGTATTAACTCTTTTTTTTTTTTTTTTAATCGGAATAGCGACATCTTATTATTTGATGCACAAGCGTATTAATTTCTTTATTTCAATGGATTTTTTCGCTGTTATTGTATATAAACAATAATAATCACCTTCCTAGTATAGTTTTAACAACATGTGTGTATTGATGTTATTTTGCACAATATAAATAATTTTTTCCGTTAAAAATATTATTAAAAAAATTTGCTCGGTTTTTTTATTTAAGAGCTCTTAGGCATTTTTATAGAGTACTTCTCTTACTGACTCATTGTGATATATATATATATATATATATATATATATATATATATATTATATATATATATATATATATATATATATATATATATATATATATATATATATATATATTATTAACTTAATAACACAAATAAAAGATTAAGTATGGAATCACAATGAAATTTGAATGAATTTTATTAATTTTTAACTTTTATTATCTCAACATTTTAAAATAAACAATCAAAAGAATTTAATAATTTTACGCTTTTCTTTTTTCTGTGGTTTTTTGGAAAATCACGTTTTTTGGCTCTCCTGAAAAGTTTTGATTTTTTAGATACGTGGTGGACTTTAGCCAACGATTTATTGATTGAACTAGTCTTTTTGCAATAATTCTGCAACAATAAATGTTGCTTTTACTCCAATCTTGAAATTATTCGATGCTTTAAAATAATGAGTTGTATGTCTATTTTTTCAATATTTAAAAAAGACTTTCTGTTTATAGACGTAATTTATGTTAGAAACCTTAACAAAATTGAATTTACTTTTGATTTCAGTTTAACCCTCATAAATTGTTTTCTTAATAAATTGTAGTTTTATCTTACTTTAGTAGTTTATTTGAAAATTGGTGACATTTCTGAATTAAATGAACAACTTTATATTTATCACTATAATTGGTTGAAATTCGGACGATTTTAAATAAAGTTTTCTTAAAAATCAATTTAACGATGTTTATATTTTTTAAATGATACATACAAAAATTATCTTTTTTTTAAATGCTGCGTAAAATGTTCGAAAATAAAAAAAAATATATTTTAAAACTTTATATAGAAACCGACCGTTATCGTGTTCATCGTGATTATTGTTTTGTTCAATTGTCAGAAAAATCTTTACGGAGAACAAAACTAAGAAACAGCCGCAAAACTTTATCATTCAAGATTTAATGATAAAAAGAAGACAAAATCAATAGTTGAATTCAATGAAATTTAATTCAGTCACAAGAAGATTTAGCTACAAAGTAAATACAGAAGATCTTTTATTCAAAGAGTATAGAAAAATCTAAAGCTTGTCATGAGCAATAAAGACAAAGGAGGTCACTTGAAGAAGATATTGGCTGAAAGTTTGCTAAAATTAGTGACAAAAAACAATTTCTGCATTTAAGCAGACAATGAAACTTCCTTTAAAAAATAATTTGATGCTTCCAGGTAATCAATACTATTAATAGTCAAAATGTTATAAAGCGTCTGACCAATTTAAGTACATTCAATTTAAGTACATTCGACCAATTTAAGTACTTTCGAAATATTTTTTTACAAGTATAGCAGACTTTTTGCTGTTTGTTTTTTTTTATTTTATTTTTATTTTAGATTCCCCAAGAAGACTTAATATTCTTGTCACAGAGCATTGTAGAAGAGCAGTTAAATAGGAAATTTACGTCTCCTTCCTACCAATGGCGCAAAATATGCCCAGAGCTCGCTTTGAACTCGAAGTCTCTTATTTTTAAAGTAACCCCTTTAACCACTGCGCCACGGCTGCTAAATGTTTTGACTTTAAATGCTGTCATTTCATAACAAAACAAACTTTGACAGATCTATGGATGACTGAATTCTTTAAAAAATAATTTCTGTTTTAAATTAAAAAATATAAACGAGCAACTTTGCTTTCTCAGATCTGGCAT